GATAGCGCAGTGAATAAGACAGAAGTCCCTGCCTTCATTGAGCGAATGTCCTGGGGCTGGGGGGCTAGAAAGAAGTAAACAAAGTTAATAAATAGGTAGCTTGAGATTGTGCTGTGGAAGCATGAAGAGCTGCAGCATGATGGCCCGGAGCAGTCAGGGGAGGCGCGGGAGGCAGTATGGGAGGGCCCAGGGGAAGAAGGGCCCCAGGGCACGTTAGAGGGACCGCGAGAAAGCTAGGATTAGGAGAGCCTAGCGGAGGGATGCAAGAGATCAGAGCAGCGTGCAAAGACCAGATCACAGAGGGCCATGTTGTCCAATGGGGAATTTTAAGCTGAAGAGGGAAGATTACGAATTAAAAGAAGTTGTTGTGGGAGACTGGCTAGCAGGCTGCTCGTCCAGACCAAAAATACAGGCAAACCTCTCTCTGAAAACAGCCACGGAACTGAAACTGGGACGAGATGTGTTCATCCTGGAGGAGTCCTGTAATTGCTGCTCATCAGGAGGGTGAAAGGACATCCGTGTGGCTGAACAGGGACCTCTTGAGCTCAGATGTTCAGAGAATGTGTCTAAAAGACCGCAGAGAGCGGCGCACAGCCAGCCAAGACCAGAGGCAGGCAAGGGACATGCCGATGGGTGCGTGTCCGCGGCAGGCGGCACCTCCGAGACCCAGAGAGCAGGCAGGGAAACTCAGAAAGCTCTTTGCTTTTGTTCTGTGAATATGTGTAGGACAAGAAAATACAGAAGGGCAGAATAAAGCCACTGCCCAAGGTCGTGGGCGTTCACTGATTTGCTCACACAGTCAAATATTTCTTGGACACCCGTTACATTTGGGCCCTCTTTAAAATACCAGGGATGCCACAGGTGGTGAGGTGAATATCTCTGTCCTCAGAACTTAAGCGGGGCATGGGGTGCAGGGGGCAGTAGAGAAAATAAACACAAGGAAGGAAAATACTTCACATGTTGGGGGGGGGTAGATGACAAGGACAAAAACCGAGAAGGGGAAGAGGACATTTGGGGGAGGGGAGCCACGTTAAAGAAGGTCATTTCATTACTTGGCTTTTATTTAGAGTATGATGGGGAAATCATTGGGGGGTTCGAGCAGGGTAATGATGCTCTCTGACATTTTAAAATAATTACTCTGGTTGCTCTGAGAATAGAGATAAAGGACAAAACTGAGCAGTTTCCAGCACCTTCACCACCATCATCCTGGTCCTGGCACCGTCTGCTCTTACCTTGATAATTGCAGGCAGGCCCGGTGAGGCCATTGCCATGGTGCGGGCAAGAGACGGTGGTGGCCGCAAAGGTACTGGACCTGTTGGGAAGGTAGAGCTGACCGTATTGGGTAGGATATCAGCAGACAAAACCCTCAATTCCTCTTGTGTTTCCCTCTTACTAGAAGATCAAGTGGATGTGGGAGCCTAGGCTGCCAACAAGGGAAGTATTCAAAAGAACTGTTCCAAGCAGAGGCTGGCTGATAAATGTGTATGGCCAGCAGGAGGGAGGTAGAGTGCTGGGACCAAGGAGGGGACGTGGCCTGGGAGCCCCAGCAAGCCAGTGAGAGAGGAGTGATGGCTCGCAGTGGGAGGCTCCAAGGAGAGGATGTCCTTGGTGCAGCCCACATGACCGGGGAGCTGGGGAGCCATAAGGAAGGTCATCGGGAAGTAGGTTGGGAGTGACAAAGTCAGGATTCCAGAAGCATCATCCACACATCTAAAATTACCGAGAATAACCGCAGGGGAAAGAGTGGTAAGCCACCTGTGAACCTAGGCGGAAGTCATCAGGGAGGATGGGAGAGCATCCAGACCTGTGTGAGCAGGTAGAGGGACCGACCCGGTGGCAGCAAGCCTCGGTCTGGAAGGGCGAGTGAAATGGGAGCAGTCAGGGCCTCCCTCTTGCCTTACGAGTCAGAGAACTTTGAAATATGCCAATGGCTGACTGAGGGGTTTAAGAAAGAATTTCCCAGGGCTGTTCTCCAATAGAATCAGCTGATGCTGCATGCCGCAGAGCTCCCAGGACAGTGACTGTCCAGAGCAGTCCATTGCATGACAGAAGCCAGGGACCCATATGAGGCGTGTTGGTATAGGAGGGACTCCCACACTTGGGACACAGCCAACTTGGCCTCTCAGTCTCTCTCAGTGCTGAGGTTTTCCTTCCCATAGGTCTGGACCAATGGTGCCTTTTCCTTGTCTTTTCGGCTTTGCAAAATCCACATTGCAAGGGAAACCATTACTTTTCAGAAAATGTTTAATGGAAACTTCTTTGCTTAATGAAACTTGCCTCCACTTAGGGAAAGCCCCTTTAATTGAGCCCTTTTTAAGCCTCGATTTTTTTTCCCCATCCTTCCATCAATTGGCATCATAAATATTCATTAAGGATTGACCCAAAATAAGGGTTATTCTGAAAATCTTTCCTAAGCCTTTCAGTTTTGCTTTCTTGTAACAAGTAATTATTTGAATATGATCTCCGGTCAATTATATTATTGTAAAAACTCATGAGTAATTGATTCTTGGAGTTTTTTAATTGAATCAGGATTTGTGAAATCATGGGATCTGATACGAAGGAAGAGATATTTTCTATGAATCATAGGTCCCAAGTAACTCCCTCTCTTGGAGCTCCAGCTGCAAACCATTGTCCTTCTCTTGCATCCCCCAGCTGAGAAGGCTGCAGCCAAGGCTGAGCTGGAAGGGTAGAGCCAAGCCTAAAGCCTGGACATGGACTGTAATGCAGTATGAACAGCAGATAAGCCTTTCCAATGGGTAGGAACAGGGGTGGCCCTCTAAACTGCAAACACACGTTTGTGGGAGGCCCGCTGTCCATGGGAGAGGGCTCCGGTGGGCTCTGCGGTCTTGTCCCTGGTCTTGTCCCCAAGCCCCGGTCACGCCCACTTCAGAGCCTTTCTCAGGCCATTTTCCTCTTGGCCCTTGAGCCACACAGTGTCATCTTTAGGATCAAGCTAATTGATCAACTGATTTTGAATATTAGCAAATGACACTTGGTCTATAGTGATTGTTCTCAATTTTGACTGCATGATGTAATCACAAATTTGACTGCACAAAGTAGCTTTAAAAAAAAAATCCCAGTGCCTGGCTATCACCCCCAGAGGTTCAGATTTAATTGTTCTGAACTGTGACCTGGGCATCAGGAATTTTAAAAGCTCTCCCAGGTGCTTCCATATGTAGCCAGGATTGAGAAACCACTGGTTTAAGAATTCATTCATTCCCCCAGCTGAGTGTATTCTAATAATAGCTCTATTTGTTCCCCCAAATGACTTGTATACCACAGCATTTTAAATAGTTCATGTGACTATAAAAACATCAACATAGCTATTTCCACCTCGTGTTAATTGGGTAGATTTGGGGAAAGGAAATAGTACAGTTCTTTTTTTGAAATTGAATTCCTAGAGTACCTCTGGGCCCACTTGATGGCAGTACCAGCAACTTGCATTTATCACGCTCTCAGCATGTGCCAGGCACCGTGCTAAAGGCTTCCGAAGCTCGGCATATTCATTAGGCCATCTTAATCCTCAACCCTGTGAGTAAGCCTCAGTTTTCCTGTCTCTGATTAATGAGGATCCTGAGGTCCAGAGAGGCAGGTTCACCTGCTTGCCCAGGGCTGAACAGGAGCCCAGGCACATCTGGTGCCAAATCTTCACTGATCCCTTAGGAAGGAACAACTTACCTCAATAATTTCCCAGAAAATAAGGGTGTCCCTGTGTTAGCTTTGGGGTTGAACTCTCTTTGAATTAGACTGCATTCTTTTGTATATCCAGAGCTTTCATAAATTTGATTTCAGGTTCACTCCCAAGTTGCCTATATATATATATAGATCTATTTATCTATCTATCTATCTTTCTATCTATCATCTATTTATAGGATATATATATATCCAAGATTGGGAGCCCATTTCACAAATTAGTTTTCTTCGTGCACTCAGCAGACATTATTTTAGAGAAGCATCTTGTTTCTAGCACCTCACCTCGTAGACGCCACCCCAGTTTTTACCTGGTGTCCCTAATACTTCTCTGAGGTGGTAAATTGGCAGTGCTGTCCCCATTTTGCAGAAAGGGGAGCTGGTGTGCCAAGTATTCATTATCTATTCTATTAAATAGTAGTAGTAGCTACCACTAAATGAATACTTCCCATGTGCCAGGCTCTGTGCTAAGCTCTTTACATCCTATGTGATTATCCTTATTTTACAGATAAGGAAACTGAGACCAAAAAAGGTGGAGCTCCTTGCCCAGGGTGGTACAGTTAGTAATCAAGCGCCTTGTTCCTTTGCTGCTCATTTGTTATTTTAACTTCTTATGAGCAAAATGGCAAGACGTAGACTTCATTTTCTCTCCTGTGTTAGCCTGACCACCCTCTGCTGTCTATGCAGTGGCATCTAGACAACCGTGTCTAGAACACACCATTGAACCATAAACTGGATTTTCTTTCCGTGTGTCGAACGGCCATTTAATATCAATGGTGAAACAAAGAATTTTCTGCCAACCTTGACTATCGCATCGAGGTCAAACAGGCTCTAAATGTTCCTTCTCCAGCCATCCCAGTACGAGGCCGCTTTGGTGTAAACAACCCCTGAAGGTCAGAACCAGCTCAGGGAGCAGTTTCACACTCTCCATCCTTCTCTGAGCTCTGCTGTTTCTCAGCTTTGGATTAATGACAAGACCCTTGTCACTGCTGCCAGGCCACTTCCAGGCACACAGGCGCTAAATGCTAAGGACAAAACCCACCTACCGCCTTCTTGCTAATTATGAGTATAACCACCCCCCCTTATTTTCTCCCTCTGCAAGCGAATACAGAGTCAATAGCTTCTGGTTTGTTAAATTATGTGTATCCACATAGTTCTGGAGGAAGAATAAGTCTGTGCACGGGAGTTTGGCAGCGTGGCGAGTGATGGAGCATCCGGGAGAATGAAGAACCTAGTCGCCTGTGTCAGGGCAGCGGGTCACTAATTGAGTGCAAACCTTTTTTTTTAAAATGTTGTTTATCCCCCTACAGGGCATACAAAACCATTGAGGATGATGACTTGAAGTTTCCCCTTATATATGGAGAAGGCAAGAAGGTAGGCATGTGCACTCCCCCTGGACCGAGAGAAGCAGGCTCTGTCCCCACACCACCCATGGCAGTCTCTGTGCCCCACTCCGCAGCCTGGCATTTTATAGCCCTGACAGCTTGAAAGACTCTCCCCTTCCATCATCCTTCAGGCCTCCTGTCTTGAGGGTCCAAGGAGTGGCGGGGGGTGGGGGAGGGGGAGGTGAGTGGCGAGCACAAGGGACGAAAGTCCATTTTGTGAAAATAACATTCCATTTCTCCAATCTATCAGAATAACTTTTTACAGCATTTAACCGTGACCCCATGCACGTACGTCATCTCCCCGTGTTTCTGACAAGCCACGAGGCAGGCAGGGCTGGTGGTACTAGGTCCATTTGGCAGACGAGGCCGCTGAGACTCTGAGGTGAAATCGGCTCCTGCAGAGTCACACAGCTGGCCAGGGGTGGTGGGAGATGTGGCGCCACAGCCATCTCCCGGCTTCTGGAACTCTCACGCTCCACCACGGAAGTTCAGACTCTGCAAGGGTGCTTCTCCGCTTGCCCCAGGCAAGGGGAGCCAAAGCTTCACTGTGAGGAAGCTGGAGGATCCCATGCACCAGAGCCTAGGCTAAGCTAGCAAAGATCGCTCGTCACGAGCTCCCAGGGCCCCAGTCAGAACCACACCCTAAGCAGCAGGCATGCTGTGGAGCACGGGAAGGCTGTTTGTCTGTCTTGGTCTGGGAGCGGAGGCTGGAGGAAGTGGCCATCCTGGACTGGAGATGGGGAAGCTTTGAAACTGTTTGCCAGTAAGAACAAACAGCTCTGAGTCATTGCATTCTTCCTCCGAACACGAGTATACTTCAACTCTGGGCTGAGAGCTCCAATTAGAAGTGAAAAATGTGCTCGCATTAAGAAGAATCTTCAACTGAATTTTTCCCAATATTTCATAGTTTTTTGGAGGAAGAAGTGACTCATAATAAAATTGAAGGGTGCCTTTATGGACAGAACTTGAGCGTGTGTGTGTGTGTGTGTGTGTGTGTGTGTGTGTGCGCGCGCGCGCGCGCATGCATGCACCTCTGAACGTACATGCGTGGGAGAGCACACGGGTTTAGGTTTGGGCTCAGTGTAGCAGTGATTTCAGTGGAAGGAGACATTCCGTGGAGGGAATGAAATACAAACATCTGATTCACAGAGGGATCATTTTTCAAACAAATTTGCCCTGTTCATAGAAATGGGCCACCTTCTATCTTACCATCACTGATTGAGAATTGTGACAGGACAGGACTCTTTTCCTGACAGTGTTGCGTGGGCCTGTCAAGGTGATGGGTACCGTTAACGCACATCTCTCAGCCCCATGACCTATGCCTACGGCTGCCGTGCTTTGTGGGGCTGAGATTCTCAGTATTACCCTCCTATACCCAGGGAGTTCCGGTAAGCTCAGAGCCACCTCCTGTTACCTTTGTATCCCATGCACCTGCCCAGCCTGGTACCTGACACACGGCTGGCCTTCAATAAAGGCATCGGTATTAAATACACTTTTCAGTTATGTACAGAATACTTTCTCCCATACCAGAGGAAAATGGACTAATGTGTTCTTAGAAGATGATCAGAATAAGATTTAAAGGAGCCAGGGGCTTCCCCAGTTCAGCAAATGTTCATTTCACTAGGACTTCATGTTCCTCAAGCATTTCAGTTAATTAGGGTTTGACACTTCTGTGATAGGCAACTGGCAAGTTCTGTCATCGTACCTGATGGTCTATTTAAAAGCCACTGTGGCTCCAGTCTGTTCCAGGCTTGCTCCATTAGTGAAGCAGCGCAAGATCCCTGTCAGGGGATCCATGATTCCTTGCAAAATCTCTACAACTGCAACACGTCAGTTGTATCTAGATCCTTTGCAGGGGGTTTCTCTTTCCCGTCTGCATACACCTACCCAGAAGTTTCGGAAGACTTTCATAGCCATAACTTATCATTTTATTCCTGCCAATGCTTTTAAGGATTTGTGTGGGTAACACCTACGTACTCTGTAAACAAGTTCAGTAACTAGCAGAAACATCAGATTTCTTTAGATGAAAACGCCCACCTGTGCTTTTCCAGCCAGAGAAGCTGCCATTGCAGCGGGGAGAGCAGAAGGGCCGCAAGGGACTCAGGATTTTCACACTTGGAGTTGAACACTTCTTAGCCAGTAGGGAGTCGGCGCAGCTCCCCAGCAGAGCAGAGAGTTTCTGCAGCCCGCCTGACCAGAGGTCCCCAGGCTTCGTATCATATGCCTGCATTTTACCCCCTTTGATTCTTGCCTTTAAAAAATATGTCATGGTTTCATTTCCACTTTAATGCAAACTGCCCGTCTTCTGATTTGAAACCAGCTCCAAAATCCATAGCCTTTTTGGGAAAACAGGATGAAAATGTTGGTCATGTTTTAGACTGTCATGTTTCCTCGCGTTTATAAGGTACCCTTATTACCCAGACAGTAGAGTGAGGAGTCAAGCCCGGGTCTTGGCATCATGACCCTACACTGGATATGTTACTGATGATCCAAGTGTTAGGCCATTGGGCTCCATTCTACCAAGAAAGACTTTCACTTCATCCCTCTGTGCTTACCTGGCTCAATGCTACCCGTCCTTCTGCACAAAAATGTCACGCCACCACCTCCGGGAGGCTTTCTCCGCAGAATTTTTATCTCCTCTGAAGTCCTCTAACCCAGGGCGCTTGTGTCATTCTGCACTTGGCCATGCTTTACATGTCTTATCTCCCTTCACAAGTTCCTTTATATTAAGGACAAGTCCTTAGACATTTGTCTAAGCTTGATTTCTGCACATAGTAGGTGCTCAGTAAAGGTTTGGCTAAGTCAAATCTGTGGCATCCCGGGAGCTATTTAGGCTGACTGTGTAGGCATTAGTTTAATAGTATTGTTTCCTTAAAGCTTTGGGAAAACTAAACTGTTTAGAGAAAGCACAGGTGGTGAGGTCTCAACCCTGAGGTCTCTGTGTAGTTATAACAAAGCGACATTTCCACCCAGAGGGAATTTATGGGGATGTTAGCAGGCCGGGTTACAGAGTTGCAAAGAGTTTCTTTTCTCTAGCCATGAAGTGCCTTCTATGAGCTTTGGGAGGGTGGGAGCTGCCACTCACTTTTTTTTTTTTTTTTTTTTTTACATCTCTCACTAGTGCCTCTCAGGAACAGGAGACATGGCTGGTGTGTTCAACAGGTTCTTGTAGGGTGGGTATATCACAGACGGACGGTTGGATGGATGGACAGATCATGCTGGATTTGATTTGAACTGATTTCAGGAGCTGTAGCCATCACACATGTTGGATTTAGTTTCCTGGATACCTTCTTTCTAGTTTCTACAAAAGAACTCTGAAAAGAGACAGCAGCAACCCATGAAACTTAGGATAATTGGTAGAAAAACCACTCCTTAAGTACATAAGTGATCTTGGTGAGCCCTTCCTTGGAAACAGCTACCCACATAAGTTAGTAGCAAGGGGCATGGAGAGGGACAGAAGGAATTGGAAAATGAATGCTTCTCTCTCCGCCTGTGGCAGCTACGTTGTGACAGGAATGCTTTCTCTGTATGTGTGAGTCTTTCTGATGACCCTCTGCTTATACCCCTAGGCCCGAGTAATGGCAACAATTGGAGTGACCAGGGGACTTGGGGACCATGACCTGAAGGTGCATGACTCCAACATCTACATAAAACCATTCCTGTCTTCAGCTCCAGAGGTACCACATGAGGTTTTTGTTTCTGTTTTGTGCAATAAAATATTGTCTACATGATTCCTCCCGGGACTTGCACCCCTTATGCAGACAATAGCCAGCTTGTGTCACGGGTACTTGTGCAGTCGTCCTTTTTCCCACTCCATTCTCACTTTGAGTGTCCTGGTTGCTACACTCCCCACTTCCTGCCCAGCTAGCTGCACAGCCCCCTAGTGGCATTCCTGCCTCCTCAGTCCATCCCACATTTTGTCATGGGACAAATTCCCAAACAGGTACTTTGACTCCTGTTAGCTCTGAAACCTTCAACCATACCCCGTTCCTATGAGAATAAAGCCCAGACTCCTTTGGTTGGCATTTGAGGCATGTTATAATTTTGTCTGTCTTTCTAGACCAAAAATTTGATCTCTGTTCCCCCGAACTAGCCAGAAAGAACTTGCTGTGTCCTTCCTGTGCACGACCTTCAGTTTCCTGGAGTTGCTTAGACTCTTCCTTCTGCCTGGAATGCCTTTCCTCCCCATCTCCAAACATCCAGAGTCTGCTGTGGAGACTTCCCTGATTTCTCCCTTCCCTGACCAGAAGTAAGGTCTCCCTACAGATCCGTGTAAAGCAGCTGCCTTTTACTGCCCTTCCACTTTCTGCCTTATTGCAGAGTTGTTCCTGTATATACCTTATCCCCTCTTCGATTTTAATCGCCTGTACAACTTATATCATTTAGCTGATGTTTAGAGAAGTTAATTGGAAATCAAGTTGTCATCTTTTTGGTTAAAAATTTTTTTTCTCACCTAAAACTTATGTTAAAAATAGCCAACAACACATGTTTATAACTTATGATACAGGAAACAATATCTAGTTCTGTTTCAGGGTGTATCTTTAGAAAACGTTTTGCTTCTATGTTGTAGAGAAATCTAAGTCATAGTAGGTTAAGGGTCTTTTTTTTTTTTCACCTGTCGAGGAGGCTGGAACTTGGTGGTAGCTAGTGTTGGTGCAACCCCTCAAGTGTGCCAGGATTGGCATCTCGGCTTCGCTGCTTTCCCTTCATGGTTGCAAGATGGTGGCATAGCATCTTCACACAAGGCAGGAAGGAGGAAGCAGGCAGCCTGTCTGTCCCCAACAGTTCCTCACTTGCGTCTCATTGGCCAGGACCGTGTCACATGACCTCCCCTGGCTGCAAGGAAGGTTGAGGGAGGGAGCTTTAACTTTTCCAGTTTTTACAATAGAAGGGAGAGGTGTGTCAGGAACCAGTGGTGTTCGCATTCTGTGCAATTACCTGTTAGAGCAATGCCTTGCACCGGAAATGCCCAGAATGTTTAAATATAGCTCCATCTGCATGTTCTTCCCAAGGGTAGATGCTGTTTTATTGAAGGCTCTTTTTGTTGGAGGAAACCAAAACCCACTCAAGCTAACTCAAAAGAGGAGGTGCTTGTTATAATAATATTAGAAGAGATGTTTATGGTGCACACAAGAAGAACCCTCAGCAGCCAGTCTTTATGGGAGCGTGCTTCTGGAATCAAGGCACCCCCAGAGAGCCCCAGCAGTGGGAGTCTGTCACCTTCATGAGGGTGTTCTGCCCTTATGTGGCTAGTCATGTTCCATATGTCTCTGCTACCAGTCAACCCATTTTCTCACTCTTCCGATTCCTGATGACCAGAGAGCAATCTCATTGGTTCAACTCCCTTTTTATACCAGGCCACAAGTGACTTCCCAGCCCATAAATTGCCCCTTTGGCTTGTCCACTCCAGAGCCCTCAGTGGGCATAAACAGCCACCCAGGCCCACCCCTTTGGCAGGGCTGTGAGCAGGGGGTTGGTTCTTTTAGAGTTTGTATTGCTGAGGCTGGCATTCAAATTACAAGTAGCCACAAGAGGTTGGGAAGTCACAGAGGGGGAATCTCTAGTAAATAGAAGGCATGGAAGACACACACCTTTCCTGATATCACCCAGCATTTCAAATTTTTATTTCCTGGTGGAAATAAAAATTGCCATTCATCAGAGCCTATAGATGTCTCTCTTTTAGCCCTCACAGCAGTTCTGCATGACGAGGACCAATACTACATAAAATGTCCAAGGTGCCCCAGAAGCTTGTGGATCCCTGATCCCTCTATTCTGGCCAACCTCAGGGTCCATGAATTATTGCTGAAAACTACTCTTGGCCAGAGGAAAGCAATAAATACTAGGCTCATGGACTCTATATTTCCCCCCCTTGAGAGAGAGGCATTTATTAGACATATTAAATGGTGCCATCGTCTTTCTACTTTGCAAAAGGGACAGATGAAGTGTGACTCATGTTCTGGGAGGGGGGCTGGTCCTCGGAAAGCACTAATTAAACATTTTGCTTCTTAAAGCAGAGTAAAAACCTCCTTCTCATCTCCTTCCACACACACCTATGCTTTCTATATAAAGTGAAAAGAGGTGTAGTTTGGTTTGAAGGAGAATGATTTCTGCGCAGTTAGATTTTAGATCTTCTAATTGCTCATTTGCTGTGGCTCCAAAGAAGAGACTGTAGGTTTAAAACTTGGGCATGCGTGGGAGACTCCCTGGGGACTGATGAGAAAGTCCAGTTGGTTGATCAGAAACCTTACATCATCTATGTAGAGTGATGCTAGTTCGCAGGGAATTGGGTTGGTTGGTTCAGTTTTGGTGAGGGACTGGACAGGTGGGCAGGGTGTTTAAAAGGAAACTGGCCACCTGTGGAAAAATGTAAGTGCTCTTAGAGCAGGTGTAGAGTTCAATAAAGTGTAGTTTTTATAATAACAAGTGATGTTTATTAACTGCTTAGTCTGGGCCAGACAACTTACGGTGTTTTTTATACACAGTATCTCATCTGATCCTCACAACAACCCCAGGAGATCCATATGCCTATTATACCCATTTTGTAGATTGGGAAACTGAGACTCAAAGAAGTGAAATAACACCCCCAAGGTTGAACAGTTATGAAATAACAAGATGGTACTTGTACCCAGGTCTATCTAATTTTTTTTTTTTTAAGATTTTATTTATTTATTTGACAGCAAGAGACAGTGTGAGAGGGAACACAAGCAGGGGGAGTGGAGAGGGAGAAGCAGGCCTCCCGTGGAGCAGGGAGCCCGACACGGGGCTCGATCCCAGGACCCTGGGACCATGACCTGAGCCGAAGGCAGACACTCAATGACTGAGCCACCCAGGCACCCTCAGGTCTATCTAATTTGATCAGGGTCTGTAGGAGAGAGTAGCTGAGTTCAAAGAAATGTCTTTGGACAGTGTCTAAGGGACCCTTTGAGTACAGGTTCGAGGGGCTCTGAAAGGATCTTTGTCTTGAGACCTCAGTGGCTCGAGTTTCTCAGAGAAATACTGCTGGCCTTGGACTAAAGTCGTAGAAAATGATGGTGTGGTAGAAAAAGTAATTGGGAAAGACAGTAATAGTCTTTGGTGTGTGCCAACCTAGGCCAGACAGAATTGTGCAAAATAAGATTGTGCACGTATAATTTAGCTTTAATGGGTATGTAGTGTAGACCCGGAGATTCCTTTGCACGAGATTAAAATTGTTGTACATTTTAAATGCTTCCAGATGGAGTGGGGTTAGCCAGAACCGGAAAGCTTGCGGGGGGGGGGGCGGTTAGAGAGAAGAGGAGGGGCAGTTGGAATTGGCTACTGTGGAGGGGTACAGGATATCCCCTCATTCCCAGTCTTAGGGTAGAAACTCCTCTTCTTTGGGTGCTGGTGATAAAGTCCAACACCAGAGACGTGGCGAGCGGGCCTCTCTGGGGGAGCTCGGAAAGCCAGGTAAATTTCTCCAAACCATCTAATGAAGAATAACTACCCCTTTCCTGCCTGCATCCCCTCACCCCCAACCCCACGCCTGCCCTTCCTTTCTAACTGTGATTTCCTAAGAACATTCCCCTGCTATGGCTCCTCTTTGCCAAGCATGGATCTTTATTTCACATTTGGGTTCTAAATTTCAAATCCAGCTCAGTCTGGTAATTTTAACAGTTGGGGAGAAAAATGCAATTTAGTTCTAAGAAAAAAAAGGCTCCAAAATCTTCTTGGAAATCAGCATTGTTCCCTTCATCATTGTAGCTCCTAATTCGATTTGATGAGCTAAATAAAAATAAGACAAAAACATGTGTATCAAATTTACGTAAAAAATGCTCAGGGGTTTAAAAATTAGAGAAGGGTTTGTAGCCAACCACATTTTCGGTTTCGCTGAACACAAGGCGCTGGAAAAATCTCGAGTTTGCCAAACCCAAAGAGCAGCCGCCAGGTTTGCTGAGCCTCCCTCCTATCTTCCAAGGTCTAAGGCAGGGGTTTCTGGCCAAGAACTGAATTCCACAAGGGGCCCCTGCCAGCCAAGCGGTTGGCCTGACCATCGAATGTGGAGGCGTTCTGAGTCTCATCGGGTCCACAGCACCGTGTTTTCCCCGTGTCACAGTGTGAGACGCAGCTCCTCCCCACATGAGAGAAAGAGCCTCAGCCCGGTCTCCCATCTCCTTGCTCAGTGAAGCGCATCAACAGTTCACCTTTTTTATACTCTCCCGAAAGAGTTCAAGCGGAGAAGGAAAGGATCGGGGAAGTCAGGCACTGAGCCCAGACTCTCCTTCTTTTCCAGCATTTCTTCTCCCCGCCGCAATCTAGCACACTTCCTGCTCTGTTACTCAGGCACCTTGGCACAGGTCTGCAGCCTAAACCTCCAGATGTTCTCTGCTCCTCGCCCCTTTCGGACGTGTAACGGGCCCTCCCTAGAGCTAGGATCCCTCTTTGTGGTACTTGCTTTCCAGCCTGCACTCCCAAGACTGCCGTTAGCCCCCTTTCGGGCTCTTGGAAGAACGAGGTCTTTTTCTTTGTGGGGACTACTTTGCAAAGCCAGCCCCTTCCTCAACTCCGTATCCCCTCCTCTAGTCCCTGCCAGACTGAACCACAAGGATCCCTGTTTTCTCTTGGCTTCGTTGTTCCTTTCCTTGGTGTTGAAGATTCCTGTCAGCTGGGTTTTTTTGTTTGTTTTTTGTAATTTCATCCTGACTCATTCAGCTCATTT